AACACTTGCCTCTATTTTTAATGGCTCACAGAGCAGACAATCACGAGTCAACAGGTGAAAGTCCAGCTAGAATCGTTTTTGGAAGGGAACTCAGGTTACCTTGCGATCTGATGTTTGGAATACCTGAAGAAGAACAAAATGAAATTTGAGATTATGCCGACGAAGTAAGTGCACGACTTCTGGGGATACATGATTTTGCTTGGGAGCATATTCAGGTCTCCAGTGACCGAATGAAGACCAGTGTCAGAGTGTGTAGTAACGGTGAATAAATTATTGTTGTGTTAATTGGACTTTGATTTTGGAATAAACGAACCCAAGATTTCTGCCATGCACCCCAAGAGCCGTGATAATATATTAGGTATATAGTCAATACAATCTTTGAAGAAAAATGCAAGGAATGCCACGTTCCTGTACAACTAGCTCTTGTTGACTACAGCAAAGCTTTTGATTTGGTAGAGCAAAGCCAAGATAAATGCAAGAATGCGCGGACTTATCAAGGAACAGGGTAGCAGTGAATAAGGGTGTACGGCAATAAAAAGATCCCATCTCTTCTAAAATTTTTAGTTCTACGATAAAGGATATCTTTAAGGTAGTGTCGAAGTTCAAAATCTTGAACTTTCCTTTTTAAATTAATTTTTGTCAGAAATGTGCTAAAAATACATTTTTTTACAGCAACGCATTTCAAATAGGAAAGTTCAAATATCATTCGAATTCAGCTGAACCTCCTCTTAAACTTGGATTATACGACTGTGCCTAAAATGTTGAACCAGGACATTGAAGGTACCTATTGAAAAAGACGAAATGTTGGCGAAAATCAGCCTAAGGACATTCCTTGAACTGTAGACAGGAAAATTCCGAATAAATATTCATCATGTACATAATTTTTTTTTTAAACTATGCAAATTGCGAATCAAAATCTTTAATCGTTGGCAAAATGTTTGACTACACAAAAATTCACTTGGTCCGCTCGAATTGTCCGGTATTTTAGTCGTCTTCTGATATTAAATAAATCGCATAAATGAAACAGGATCAGTTTAGTCAAAACAAAAAAGGAAATTAAAAACATATGTTCCTCCATATAACCAGACTTCAAGGTACAATAGAAATAGGGTCGGCAAATTACCACAGTAAAGGCATCAAACTTAAAGTGCATTCTACCATAAACGAGCACCTTTTGGGTTCAAGAAGTACCATATTGCACTATACACTCCAAAATTTACTAAATAGATGTGTTTGTATTTAACATATGAATGATTTTCATTCGGAACGCTACCACAAAGTTGGGTTGGTTTAAATTTTAACAGACACGAAAATAATATGATGTAATTATGTTGTTTAAATGAAAATTTCGTTATTTTTTTTTACTATCAAATACCTGATAAGACAACATTTAATGTAGCCTACAAAAGAATATCAGCATTAGATAATCTGCAAAATTATAATAATGTGGTAACGATTGCAACAGATGTCACTACACCCTTTTTCCACGATCCACGTAAAAAGGAAGAAGTAACGTGTTCATATTGCACACCCTAAAAAAATATAATTAGACCAGGTGCGGTGTCTTCCGTGCAGATTAAATTCTAAGTTTGTTTAGGGTGGATGGCTATCAGGGGAATAATGGTAATTTTTACTAGTTGCACGTTACCTTGATGTGTTATGGGAATTGCATAAATAGTTTTGGTGAAGTACATCGAATTAATGTCTATAATTATTTTTCTCAAAAATACTTCAAAAAAATTTGAAAACATGTAGAATGTAGGTAACAGTGATTCAGTTTGAATATATTATGATCACATTTGGTAAAAAATACATTCCGATTTAATTTATGTTCTATTTTCAGAGACGGGTAACGTGATTTGAAAAGTTCTAGCCAGAAGAAGGTTGAATACCTACAAAAAAATGAGAAGAGAAATGTTTGATATTGCAATTAATGTTTTATTTTTTCTTAAAAACTTGCGAAGTTATTGTCTACGTAGATATTCCTTGTAAATGAATTAAACATTTGTTCAAATTGTTCACCATAAACCCTAAAATTCCCAACTATCCTTGATGGTCATTCTTTGATGTATATATTTTGCCCAAATTTGTTTAGGGGTTTCCAGATAATAAACTAATTAAGTAGGCATTAAGAACATTTCAGAAGGGAAGTACAAGTCGATTTGAAAAAGATCGAAAAGAGGAGGAAGTCAGTCATGAGAGAGCTTCGGTCATAGACCTTTTTGCAAGACTCTCTCTTCAGATAAGTCAGATAACTAAAGTAACACTTGTAATAAAGAGTATTTAAAATAGAAGCTATATTATAGTATTGTTTTCATACCAGTGAACTTAGTGAACAGTGAATACGGCGGTAAAAATTCAAATTTCTGTAAAAATGCATAGGTAACTACCTATCTACTCAAAGATGGATTCAGTTATTAATAAGCACATTACCGTCATTACCTTAATATAGTAGGAATTAAATAGAATTATATAAAAGCCTCAGCATTAATCGAAACATAATAAAAGAAAACAGAAACGAAAAAAAGCATATGTTCATATGAAGTCAAGCTACAATAGGCTCGATAAATAACCAGGAAAAAGCAAACTTGAAGTGCAGTCTACCATAAAGGAGCACCTTTTAGGTTCCAGAAGTGTCATATTGCACTACACCCTTAGTTATTGCACTCAAGACTAAATGCCTATTCCAATTTTGTTTCTATTTTTCAATATTCACCGAGTGTTTTGTAAAGAATAAGCGTGTTTGAACTGCTACAAACGTTCTGTTTAAATCCTTCAAACTTCGAATTCACGAGCTAAAATTAGAAATAAAAGGAAAAATCATAATTATAATGAACTACTTTAGAGGAATGGTGCCACTGAATGTCATATTAGTTACCACACTGAAAAGTATTGCCCTAAATTGATTTAAATTTTCATTTGGTAAAATTTTTCGATTAAATGTACTTGTAGTGGAAGTAGTTTGAATTGCTATACCATCTGTTTAAAGCCTTCAAACTTCTTAAAGAGTAAAAATATTAAGAATCAAAACCAAACTACATAGGTAGGTATGTATTGTGATTAAAAAAGTTGGTGCCAGGAGCGTCATATTACCACACTAAAAAATACCATCCTTACCTAAATGAGGAATTAATTTGTTCAGATTTTTTTTTCCTAAAAACATCATGTGGTATGTGTATTGTTTAAAAGCCTTGACACTTAATGTGTTAGCTGATAAATTTTAAATAAACATATTATCATTTTTGTAATAAAGTAATTTAGAAAGTGGGTGTCAGATTGATATTATATTGCGCTAAACACTGTCAGATATTTACACCGGCTAGGACTTATTAGATATTATTATTATACTATGTGACAAAAAAAACGCATCACTCATCAAAAGTGTATATTTTTCAACAAATTTTCTACATATGTTAAAATGGTGTAAAAAATAACAATTATTCATTAAATGTTACTTTATTTGTATATTTTTTATTAAATTAAATTTCGCTTTTAATAGCCCAAGCCCAAACAGAATTTGGTTAACAAATATCTATATAGTTCTATGGGGTGATGCGTTTTTGTTGTCACGCAGTATATATTTAATTTTGGTTTTAACCCGAACAGATTTCTAGTTGACGACTAATTATTCAAACAGGACACCTATCGGTTCATGATGAACCGCTTAGAAGTTTGAACGCAGTTTAATTGAAAAAAAAAATTAAACAGAACAAGGAAGGGTGAATACAAATAAATTAATAATTTGCTGCAAAGCCGGAGGGAGGAGAGTCTAGGGTAAAAATCCTAGTACACTTATTTATTCGAAAGAATTTCTATTGGTGAAAAGAGTGAGTATAATAAGTAGCCGTATTTTTCTTTTAAACCTCACCACCTAGGATACATTTTGTTGTATGGATTTCAAATTTCCATTTACTCATTTCCACCACGGGACGTATTCTAAATCCTAGACGCTTTCTTTTTTTTTTTTTTTGAATGTAACTTTTAGATATTTTGGAGCACTTTTATTTACCTACTCAAAAATTTGAACTGAAAAATATTTGAGTTCAGGCTCTTTTCCATAATGCATTGAGCTCTTGTAAAAAAAAAAATCAAATTATGAAAAAAATCGTCCCAGAGAATAAACGCATTTGGGTAAGTTTAGATTATTTTCCACCAACTAATTTTTATACTAAAAATATCAACATTCGTTCTAAGCTAAAATAAAGAAAACATCTCATCTTTAGAAAAAATTAGAAAGTCGATGCCAGAAAACTCATATTAGTTTCCACACAAATTTTTCTTTCTGTTTGTCAAGATCTTCAGTTAAGAATAAATGCGTTTGTATTAAAAAGTAAACTGAACTGCAACCGTTCTGTTTATTAAACATTAAGCCTTTCAAACTTCCGAGCTGGAAAATGGAGGGAAAAAAAAACACGAAAAACCCATGTTTACAATAAACTAATTTGGAAAGTTCCGGAGATTTTTTTTTTAAAGTTCCGAGTTTCAGTGGAGAGTATCTGGGTTAATTAAAATAGATTTGAAAAAAAAGTTATCCGAGCATTGGAACATTATTTAAATGTCAGGTGGTTTAAAACAGAAATAAATTTATATTTTTTCAAATCCTCTGTAATTCATTAAAATTTGATTCACCGACCGACCATCTTTTTCTCTCGTTGCTCTAACGGGATTAAAGTAAATTTTTGGGATTTTTTTAAATACCTTGTTTTCGTTGGATCCACCTTTAGGATACATCAAATACTTCAATTTATTTCCATAAATATTAGTACGCTAAAATGGATAATAATTCGAATCGTTTTCGAGAAGAAAAAGTAACTGTAGAATATAAATTTTCGCTTTCCCTAAATACTGCGATTGCATCAACGAGAAGTATGTACCTATCTATAGTGTGCTCTGAAGCAGCCTCTACCAATACGCAAAAACTTGAAATTTCCTTTGAGAAAAATAATACTTTTTTTTGCAATTTAAATCAGGTTGTTTTCACGAACCTGTGGGCCCCATACCTCGATGTGATTGTTTCTGTTGTAGTGCAAATTGAGCACCCGGTACAATTCGGAGTCACCTCCTACGTGGAGGTCGTCCGCGTTTTTCACACCTTCCGAAACTGCTTGTCTTGCGTACTTTTCCATCTGGATGTAGTAGAACTCTCTGCAAAAAAAAAAACAAGAAAAAAATTAATTTAGTGAAAAGGACTTAAGTAAAATTAAAGCAAATGACAGTTCTTTCTATATTTAGTTAAGTTACTTCTATTCTATTTGCTATAAATATTATTTTATCCAGTGTAGTTTTCGAAAACTTCCAAAATGTCACAGTTACGGTAATATTTATTGGATCTATATACCTACGATATAGCAACGTCAAAAAGCAAATTATTCCCGAAAAATCGTTAATTTACAATTTTATTTCAGCATCGATAGTTTCAGAGATATGAAGCTTTAAAACTCCTTATTATCATCCTCCATAGCACACCAAACACAATAGGACGTGTTTCTTTTTTTTAATTAACAATGACTAATTAGCGTTAACCCTTACCAATTTTTTTTTTTTTTTAGAGAAAAAGGAACTTTTCAATCCTTTGTTCTCGATCTTTGCGCTAAAAATAGAGAAAAGAGTTTACAATTTTAATTTGAAAATATTTTATTGTCCTCTAGGGGGATACGTTAAAACTGTCTTTAGAGATATTTTTTAATATTTTCTCTGATGGCTTTTGTTTCCAAGAGTAAGTATAATTGAAGGGAAAGAAGTTACGGACAAATTCAAACTTTGAACCGACATAGCTTTATGATGAATTGACATAGAGGATCAATTTTTGTGCTATTTTGAATATAATTTTGGACTGTTCGATCATACGTTTCCTCACTTATGACGTACAATAAAACCTCAATTCCCGTGAACTTGCAAATTGCCAAAAACCTTAATAATCCTAATCGGTCGTCAAATAAACAATTTAATTATCTTCAAATTATTGACCAAAAATTGTTTTAGCTTTGATAGATATGAAAATGCAAAGTTGAAGTTTTGTCTGAAAGGTCAATTTTTACGTTTTCCTTTGTTATTGATTTTATTGCAAGGTTTTTGATTGATCGAATTCTAATAATCCCTTAATACAGAAAAAAGTTGAATTATATTGTACTTAGCATGAGGTACCTATGGTTTTCTTGCAGCTACGCACAAAAAGAAATCATTTATTTCTATAGCTACATTAATAATGTTGCGTTTGAATTATAGAAACACATCGTGTTTAGTTTCTTTGGTTGCTCGGGTAAAATTGAATGTAGAGTGATTTTTTTATTTTGCCTATTCAATAATTAGGAGAGTTTTAAGGTCAACGGAAAGAGGCAAAAATTGAAAAGGTGTTTCTTGAAAGCAGATGCGTCTGAATCTTCTCAACTCTTTTGAAACTGCAAAATTTCACGGAAAAAGAATGTATACCTGCTTCTGAAAATTCAATCGTCCGTTTTATGGGTCGAAGAACCTGAAAATTTCATATTCTTGACTCAAAAACGTGGCCATTATTCAAAAATTCAACTTTGAACAGTCATACCTATATATATTATCCGGGCTAGGCCATATGTCGCTATATCGTCAACTAATAAGGGAGCTATGGGCAAAAATGCATGACCGTATTCCAGTCCCAGTACATGGTACGTGCACAACAATAACCTCAAGGGTCTTTGTCAGTGACGTCACACACTTGAAGGGCAGATGCATGTTACCTTGAATGGGTGTCCTGATATCGATTTTAATTTTTTTTTTTAAATGTGTCAATTTTGGGGCAAATTTATTAAAAATGTTCCAGTAAAGCCAATAAAATTATCTACAAATCGGCATCAGAACAATTTTTAACTTGATTTAAAGTCGATTGAATTTCTTACAAAGCGAGAGAAACAAACTTCTTAAGTTGTAAAGCCGTCTGTAAAGAACTTAATTTATTAAAAACGTCTTATTATAATCAAGCATAAATTTCTTAATGAATCGGGCCCAGGTGGCGTTAAAAAACTGCTGACAAACTAAAAGCCTAACAGTAATTAATCCCTTAATTAAAATCCGGTAGAGTGACCGGATGTAATTTACTACCATTTCGGGCAAGGTAGGTATATTCCTACTTGCTCGGTATATACCTTACTTGCCCATCCCCTAACCAAAATTCTAGCCCCCATAATAATTATTATTATTGTCGCTTTCAAATTAATTAGCCTAATTGCCGCGGCCTTAGATAATCTCCGATTGACGACTAATTATTTAAACACTGCATTAATCGGTTTCGTGTTCCGTGATAAAGCGTTTAAGTTTTAACCGCAAAAAATTTAATGGGATATATAAATAAATAATGCCCTGGAAATATATATTTTTCAACCCTTTCGTGAAGCTTTAAACAACATTATTCAGGTTATTTGAACATACAGAACATTTTTAATAAACTTCAATTTCGGGATTTGTTCTCCGACAATTTTAATGTCTATTTATGGGGAATTTAATTTGCTTCAATTTGAGACATCTATACAGAGTGTATCAGCCAAATGGAATAAATTCGATAACAAACAAAAATCGGGTCCTTTTCGAAAAAAAAAAAACACTACTTAAGTGCTTAAGATTTTTTTACACTAATTTTTGTATATAGGGCGTTTGAAGGACAGCTGTACAGTTATCAACCTTATTTTTTCAAATAGTACTCCAATGACATTTCTCGATTCTGCGGAAAATTCTAGACATATTTCATATACAATATCCTATATTTATCTTCAACTGTTTCGGAAATATTGACAGTTGAAAATTGACTTTTTTGCATTTTTGACACACTGTAAAACCTAAACGGTTGATTTTACAGGAAAACCGATCAGACATTATTGTTTTAGTTTCTCATTTGACACCAACTTTAAATTTAATCCACGATTAAAAATTCCAGTTAAATTTAATCTCCGGTTAAATTCAAACTTAGTGTCAAAAAATAGCTTATAGAGAGCTACAGACGTGAATCTAAGATAGTTTTTGCTGTAAAATTAACCGTTTAGCATTTACAGCCTGTCAAAGTTGCAAAAACGTCAGTTTTGAACTGTCAATATTTCCGAAACAGTTGAAGATAGGTATATGACATTGTACACGAAATGTCTAGAATTTTCCGCAGAATCCATTAATGTCATAATATACAGGGGGTACCTTTTAAAAAAATTTGATGACCGTACAGCTGTTCTTGGAACACCCTGTATAAAAAAAATGGCGTGAAAAATCTCAAGCAACAAAACAAAATGGACGTGTCCGAGCGTTTTTTTTCGAAAAGTTCCTATTTATTTATTATCGAACTTATTTATTCCATTTGGCTGATACACACTGTATATAATAAAACACAATTGGGTTGGTTGAAGAGCCCATAACTCGAGAACGGCTGGACCGACCTCCTTGCAATTTATACCACGTAGTTTCTGTATAAAGGGAAGTGACATAGGCTACTTTTTCCCGGGGAAAAGCATTAATTTTCAATTAATTAATAATTATAGACAAACTCATTCACACACATAAACCAACTTTTTTTTTTTTGACAACAAGAAACAACATTGCCACATTTATTTGAGCTTGCGCATTTAACCGACGTAACTGTATTAAGGGGCAATCCAATAAAAACGGCGGCCAATTCTAAGCGGCAAGTAATGAAATTGGCGCAATGAATTTAATTCAAACAACCGTGACATTTTTCATCAAAAAACTGTTTTTTGTGTGTATTTTGTGGTGTTTTAAGGTGATCTTTTAGTGCTTGGGAGGATAATTTTTGTATTTCAAGATGGAAAGATTTTATTTTATGAAGTTATTACCCAGATAATGGGCACGATTTCTTTTTGACAAACCTTTATCTACTGAACAATTAGGTACTATCCAGGATTTGTTTCCTGTTTAGTTTTTTCACAACCAAATCCTGAGGGTTATTGTCTGCTATTCAAGGTATCAACGCAAGTTGAGGATATAGTGAATGGCTTGGATCCATACAACGTTTATGTGGAGAGACTATAGTGTTTTTCAATAGAAATTTCGTCAGATTTTCTCTCTTTTACAAAGTACAGACAGATCGTTCTTCTCCGTTAAAACCTGTATTTTGTCGCGATTAGAACGGCTCCCACAACTTACTACAATACATAACGTAGGCATTTTTCGAAAAATCAACAGTTTACTACTTTACAGACTTTACGCAAATCGAAAATCGCAATAAAACGTAGTGTATGAACAAACACACCTCGCAGAGTTCCAATATAGAGTACAGACGTTTAACATTGGCCGCCATTTTTGACAAGTCGTTGGATTGCCCTATTTTTTAGAAATCGAGAACGGCTATACCGATCTCCTTGAAATTTATACCACGTAGTCTCTATATAGGTAAAGGGGAGTAATATAGGCTACTTTTTATCCCGGAAAAAAAAATAATATTCAATTAACTGTAGGTATTATTTTTTATAAAAAATCAAATTTTCGCATTCAACCCATTCAACCGACGTAACTGTATTATCTAACTGTTTATATAGAACAAAGTCGGGTTGGTTACAGAACTTATAACTCGAGAACGGCTGGGCCGATTTTTATGATTTTTGTTTTGTTGGACTTGTCTTTGCCCCGGATAATATAACAACTAATGCAACATTGAAAAATCAAGAAAAACAAATTTATGCAGAAAATTCACTAAATATGCATACGGCGCCATCTCTCATAACCGATATCAAGTTTGCCGCGTCAGATTGCGCGCTTTGTTCCATTTTGTTTTTTGTACATTTATTTAACTAATTCATTTTATCTCATTAAAAAACTGAGTTTAATTAAGCTAATGCGTTAACACATAACATTTATAGATTCTGAGGCGGTACGAAGTTCGCCAGGTCCGTTAGTTTCGTATAAAAATTAAATAAACAAATGAGATAAAACATGTTTTATGAACTAATGTGATATAATAAAACATATTTCAAATTTGGATTTTTTTTTCTTGAAGAACATTTAGCGAAAACAAAAAATTTGAACGAAGAACTTGAATCGTCATTTTGTTTGATAAATTTACATACTCGGACAAAAGTAGATCCGTTAAATTAATAGTAACGGAGTTATGGGCCAAAGAGAGTCTCATGAAACTCATGAAAGAAAACACGAAATGAGAATAGTGAGTTGTTGGAATT